CCAACCGTAATAGGCCGTTACACCCTAATATTAATTGAGTTTCTCAAATATACGGTCATAAATATATTGTTTAAACAATATAACTCCTTTTTCTGTTATTTTAGTTAGAGCATAGCCTTACATGCTCCACATATGAATACAAATGCAGCACGAATGATACCTGCATACCGAAAGCAATGTTCTGCGACACAATAATGGATTGTCCGGATGGAAGCGATGAGTACGACGGTTGCGTGGAAGACGTAAGTGAATCGAGGCAAAATTTTACTCGTTTTATTGATAATTATAACAATTTATTTTCTTATTATATCTATTATTTTTCTCGAATTTGCAATTCTGTTTTTGTCCACAGTTGATTTGCACCAAGAACAATTTCCGATGTAATGACGGACGTTGCATATTTCGAGAATGGGTTTGCGACGGCAGAAACGATTGCTCCGACGGCAGCGATGAGTCTAACTGCAGTAATTTTTAGAAATACAGATTACATATTAATAACGATAATAAAAATTAGGCTAATAAAAATTATATTTTATTATAATAAAAACTTTTACATGCAGTCTTATGTTTTTCCAGGCATAAATAATTGTAAAACAAAAAATTTCCAATATTTGTGTAAAAATCAACTATGCATACCTCTTAAATTAGTATGCAATGGAAAGGATGACTGTGGTGATAAATCAGACGAAATCGGTTGTGAGTACTCTACGTTATACATATTTCAATATATTTTAATTGTTGCATTAACTTTTTTGCAACAAGTTTTAATTATATTGCCTTTTATTTTAATGCGTTTAAATCTTTCGTGATATAATCTCTGCGTGATTTGTTATATTGTTAAATTATATTTAATTTTTATTTTTATTTAGGTACATCCAGTTGTCCCAGCTCGGTAAAATGTGATTATGAATGCAAACCAACTCCTAAAGGAAATATGTGTTTGTGTAAACCGGGTTATAAATTACAAAATGATAGCCACACTTGTATAGGTAAAATTGCGATAAACAAAAGCGACAATGTTGCGAAAATCATATATCGTTCATCTAATGATTTTTCTATTTCACAGATATCGACGAGTGTCAAACTTATGGCATATGCGATCAAGAATGTGTGAATTCTCCAGGATCGTATAGTTGTAAATGTCAAACGGATTATTTCTTACAGGAGGACAAGAAAACCTGCAAAGCGAGTGGTAAATTATAATAATTTGGGAGTATGAGTAACAACGCATATTCTTTTTATTTTTATATCAGACTTTATAAAAACACGAATCTTTCTTTGAAATTTAGGTTATGCCAAAATATTGTTCTCTACAAAAAACGAGATTTTCGGGATGTATCTTGCAGAAATAAATAAATTCTTCACTGAATTGAAATTCTCAAGTCACCTGGCTAGTATTGCAGTAAACGATGAGCACATATATTTTTCGAATTTGAAAGATAATCACGAAGTCATTTCAAGCAATATTCCTGATTCTAAAGACATCGTGACAGTAGGTAAATGAATATAATCTGTAGATATAACTATAACTTTTATAAAGCACATTTGCGGAAGCAATTTTTTATACATCTTTTTTGTAGTACAAAATAAAATAATATATTAAAAACTGTAATATATATATAATGGTAATTATAATCGAATAATGGTTATAAATAATTATAATTTTTATAATTCGTTATACGATATTATATATCTGCAGCAATGAAACTATGATATTAATAATTAATACAATAATTCAAAGTTAATGTCGTATTTGCAAAATAAAGTTGACATGATTCAAAATCAGTAAAAAAGTATTGTGATACAAATAATCGACGCATACTTTGAACTGAATATTATATAATATATAAATTCATTCAAAAGCAGTATAATTATAAGCACGAAAAATCGTTTTAACCGATTATATGACCTTTTTTATTTACTCGTATTTAATCTCATTGATCGAATTTTATTTAATATTATTGTTTAAATCTAATGTAATTTACTCTTTTTTAATAAACTATTAAAATATTTCAAACTGTATAGACTCATTAGTCGTAAATAATGTAAAAATAATCAATAACGTTTATTTATTTTTTCATTTGTCATATTTTAATATTTCTTTCGAATTATTATTAATTATTTTTATATTATATATCACTGAGACGAAGACTTTGTATAGTCCGAAACGTTTCCGTAATTATTCGAAAAAGAATAAATTTTGTATTAGATTATAAACATCTTTTCTACTCGTTTACTGATCCACGTATTTTTAAAATTATAATAAGATTTATATAAAGGAAAATCGCCGATACTGACATAGGTCTCTTAAAGTGACACCTCCTTATTTCTTGGAACTAACTATTGCACTTTATTAATACTAATAAAATCATGATCTGTTTAGCTAATTAAAGAAGTACAAACTCATAATTCATATATTTGAGGCTTATTTCTATACCAAATCAGCTAAAAACCAATTCTATGAATC